ATTTTACATCTGGCAGGAGAGTGGAACTGCGCGCGTGAAATGCCGTGCACCAAAGCTAAGGAACTCAGCCAGTTGCTGAAGCCCTTGGCTTCAGGAAAGTCGTGAAGTTTCTTTCACTTGTCACTCAATCATGGTACATTCTCACAATGCACTTTTGTGAGACGGTCATGTAGCGGGAATACACAGGAATAAGGCGTTCAAGGCTGCTTCTGTGAAGGAAAAAAAACAAGATTAAAAATATGCTAAGTACAAAAAAAATCCCTAACAGTAGAGAAAACAATAGCTTACAATGTGATCGGTTAGTGAACTGTAGTTAATTACGGTAACAGGTCGTTTCGCCCCAAGTCCGTTTCTCCCCGAACCGTTTCGCCCAAACTCAGAGTCGTTTCGCCCCACAAAAAAGTCGATTCGCTCCGACCAAAAGTTTTATTAACGCAAATTAGAGAGTAGTTGACGCCCAAATGTGTTTCAATTTCTATATTTTCTTCCTCGTTATACCATTCGAGGTGGTAACTTTCGCTAACGACCAGTTCGCCAACGTATGAATTCGATTCGCCAATGTCCTGGATCAGTTTGTATATGTCAGTTCGCCAACGTCCACATTACTTCCTGGAAAAGGTCTGAAATCACCAAAGGAATAAAATGTCACCTTTGTAAGATGACATGGGTGTTTATAGGTTGTTAGTGTCGTTTGAAATTGTTCGTTTCACTCTCCCCAATCTCTCTCTCCCCACGCTATGTTGATATGCGCTGGTTGATCGATGGCGAACCTGCGACCACGCGTGCTCTCTTTTCTTTCTTCGCCTGATAGCAAGTTTAATCGATGGCCGATCGTATTGGTAAAACTTTGAAAACCTTCAGCGGCTTTTTGTCCTGTAGAGTTTGAACCGTCTGTAAAACCTTTTTATTAATCGTTTACCAAGAGCGATTGAGTCTAAATATNCTTTGAAAACCTTCAGCGGCTTTTTGTCCTGTAGAGTTTGAACCGTCTGTAAAACCTTTTTATTAATCGTTTACCAAGAGCGATTGAGTCTAAATATGTTTGTTTGTTGTTGCACTCGCACAGCAACAAAGTCAAACAAAGTCCGTTGATCGACTGATGGCCGATTGTATTTGGAAATTTAAAAAACTTTCCACAGCTTTTACCTGTAGAGTATGAAACGCCTTTTAAACCTTTTTACTAAACATTTGCGTAGTTAAAGTGTCATTGAGTCCAAATATATTTGTTTGATTACTTACAACATATAACATCGCAAATCGGCATACGTTTAATAATTGTTCTTGTAAAGGCAAATAAAATGTGCGGAATAGTTTATTTCGATTTGCAAGTGCTGTTCAATAAACTGAAATAATTGATTATTTATGACTGCGACTGTTTTAACAGCACTAGTAGCTCGTCTTGGGTAAGTGTGATCTTTTTCAACGTTGTTTTTTATACTTGTGACTTTCTCAACAATAACTGTTGATTAGTGCCAAGCGCGGGGAAGGTGTGATTTTTCCCCTTTGTTTTTCACAGCAACAAATTAGTTTACTTAACAAACGACGTTTGAGTATAAGCTTCTAGTTGCGACCGTTGTAAATAGGTTTAGGCCAC